AGGCGGGAGGGAGTGTCAGACTCTTACTGACTAAAAACCCCGTTCCTTCTCCTGCACGTCGAGCCGGAGCCCCGGTTTCCCGTTAGGTTCTCCACGACGAGATATCTGGATAGACCAACCATAAGACTACACAAGACGCAATAGGGCCTTAAAACGGTCAGTTGCCAGTGATTCACGAAAAAACAATAACATGCAATACTACTGAAAATCTTTTTGCCACATTCAATATGAGCAATTAGTACCTATGTCAAGTAAGTAATTGTATTGATCTCTTGATAAAATTAATACATAAAATTTTTTACCTAATCATACCTACACGACATAATAAAGTGCTAAGAAAAAATATTACCTCTATAAGCTATCGAAAAAAAACAATATTTCATTATATTATTGGGAATTACAAGCCGAAAAATACAAGACGAAAATAGAACTTTATCAGATAGATTAGAAGCAGCCGACGCAGAACAATATATCGTTTCAATTTCGTATCAATATCACAAATATAATGAAAGTTAAATAACAAACAGCATCGCGCCTTTTTTCGTGAGGCTGGGCAGATATTATCTGTATGATGGTAGCCAAAAATGTAAAAATGTAGGAAAATCTTCCTTGGACAAAACATGGACCAAAACTTCATTATCATTCATCAACAGCAATAGCGAAGTGAATACGTCCACTGTATGGACATTTTTTATTGGATAAGTCGGTAATCGGTCAGACTGATCACCTGATGATAAGCAATCGGCGCCGCCCATGGACACCCGTAAGTGCGTTACCGGCCTTTTGGGAAAAGGAATTTGAAGATTATTGGAGATTGGGGAGTGGGGTTATTATTTACGTCTAGGGCCTCTGGTAGTCTGAAAACATAACGCAAGCGTTGTTTCACGTCTGTGTTTTTCTAAAGCCGTGGTACCACTCCGGTCGAGTCGGCCCATTCGTGCCGAAGCATGGCTCTCCCACACTTACTTACACTCACACATGACCATGACCTCCACGTTTGGCAGTCTTGAGAATCACAGTTAGATCACTGATTAACTGATTACACAATGTTTTTGTCCGTCCTTTGGTGGCTAGTTGCAGTTTTAGTATACTGGGGTCAAGAATAGCTCATACACACCTATGTATAAAGACAGACCCTAAACAAAGACTAAAACAAACTAAATTAGGTAGGTATATTGTGTAAAAGTGGGAAAGTTTAAGCTGTTGATTGATAACAACAAATAATGATGAGTCAGTCATTAAGTCCTAATCATGCTTAAGTTCTCGTCAACGCTAAATATATGTTACTAGTCTTAACGGAAGAACTATTGTCAGATTTCAGATACCAGTTAAGCGATGCGGATAGATGACGTAAAAATACCTACAACTGCAAACTTTTTTTTTAAAAGGAACCTATTCCAGGTTGCACCTTATAGTACATCCACACGCGTTGCACCATGTTATTTTCTTTGTTTTGTTCTTAACGTAGAACAATTTTAGAATCTCTGAATTATAGTTTCGAATATCTCGACTAATAAGCACCACGCGACGCGACACGATAATCCAACTCGACAGCCCTTAAAAATAAGAAAGATAATCCAGCAAAGCTTTCTATACAAGTTAAAATTAAGAAAACATATCTAACTGCGCTTATTTTAAGGCATAGTTGATGAGTACTTAAGTCACGTAATCATATGTTACCAGGTTATCTATCCCTCCTCTCTATGACCCTTTATCTATCATCAAGGGATACGTGTGTTTAGCAGCGGTGATAGCTTGTCAGACAAAATCAGAAAAATTCAGAAATAGAAAGTCAATCTTTAAGTAAATTAGTATCTTTCTGCTTTAAAACATGTTTATCTGTTATTTTAACTATCCTTGATTAAAGACACGGATTAGGTTCTTAATCCGGTCTAACAATTTCCGATTTACGAAAATCCAGTGAGATCTAAAATCACGTCTAGTACTATTTTAATGATAGCTTCTATCCCATTGAGCCATCTCTGCAAAATCCCTTAGTCATACGTTTCGCTAAGAGCAATCAATTCCATGACTCATATCCCTATTACGAAGTCAGGGAGCCGAATCAAAAGCAGTAATCGTGCTCTTAAAACTGACGTTAGTTTCTCATCCCATTATTAAAGTTAGATTATTCCGCAGCTTGCATGTAATCCAATCTCCTCATATGTAAGTAACTATGTTGCGCACCGTTGGAGAATTTAATTTATATTTAATCATTCAACATTAACCATCGTTAATTTTTTATGCGTAAACAACAAATTATTTTGCCTCGGCCGCTTGTTGCATTGTTGCGTCTGTACGTAGCTAACTGCAAGTTTACATAAGACAGACTGTAATCATGTCGTGCAATCTACCGTATTGCAGTATAATGAACCTGGCTGATAAAGCAACCGACATATTAATATTATAGTTAAGTAAGTAATTAACAGTTACCTAGAGTCGCTAGAATGCAACGGCCATTGTATGCCGAATATCTTCAATCTGGCCGGGGGACGCCTCTTCTGGTCGGTTCGAGTGTTCTCTTCAACGGGTGGAGTGTGATGTCTACTGCCTGATGAAGCCCGAGTGCCACTTCTGCGACGCCTACGACGCCTTCTCTCAACCAAAATAAAGTTATCCCCGTTCCTGATAATGTATGATGAACGAAGTGTCGACTTCTCCTCGCCCTGTCTTTGTCTTATCAAGTCAGCTGTTCTCAGTGTGTGTATGTTCTGATACTCGGCCTCCTGTGGTTGTGGAGCGGGGGCTGGCGTCACTTCCTTGCTTGTGCTAGTCCCGCTTCCATCCCTCTTCTTGCGGGAGGAATGGAGACCAACTCGACGCCAAACCTTTTCCATCTGTCTCTAGTGTCATCCCATTATTATTCCCACTAATCGTCGCAATTTCAACGCGACCGATCACTTGTCACTGTAGGTACGCACAATCACAATATTTACTGAAGCATTTATTCCAGAAAGATCGTGGAATTGTTCACAGATTTTCACCGAATATGTCCGAGATTCCCACATAAATATTAACACAAATGAATCACTGTCCAATCAGCCGTTCCCTGTCATTGTTCGGGTTGATAAATATTTCAAGAGTCCTCAACGAATCCTCGGCTCCCGGCCGGAGATTACGTGTCAATGTCCAAATCACAGAAATCAGGGCGTATATCATTAATTTCTCTTATTAAGACGTACTAGGTTAGTAGAATTAGGGGAGAGAATAACGTGTTTTTTGACATCGCACTTGCAGAAGTCCCGGCCCTAACAGGGTGCGGGTGCAAGCTTTGCGCATGCGTGATCCCCCTTCACCCGTAGCCCCGTCTGACCGAAGCTCCAAAATGGCGGACCTCCGACCCCTTCCCGTTATTGAATATCTAATTTTATCGCCGTGCATTTATTGTATTCGGCTGCAATGCATTCACGGCCTACTTTTATTATTATTCAGTTACCTAGCCCGGTCAATAGCTTACGTATAAAATTAGAGAACTTTAAGCAACTTTGGCGCGATGAGATTCAGAGCTTTTTACCCGCGTAGATATCTACATCGAGAAATTTCTTTTACAATTACATTTTTATTTATTTAAATGTTGTACGATCGAAGTAGATACTCTTTTAATAAACAAATTACTTTACTGCCTCAGTAATACCTCCCACCCGCCTACTTAACTTCCCCCTAGGGCCTAGAGCGCTGCTTTGATAACTCTTCCAAAGTATGAACATTAAGTTGGTACATGATATACTTCAACTTCTATACAAAGTTCCTATTGCTTTGCTAAAGTTAAGTAAGCAGAAGAGACAACTACGTATAATAGCTATCTGCGACAGTATTAGGTACGTACCTATCGAGGTATTTATGTTTTGATCGATCTCCGAATTTATTTATTTTTTCGGTAAAGGATACTTTTGACGCCTTTTTTCTATAGGAGTGACAAGGCTAGGCAGCATTGAGCATAATACACATAACAAATTAAGTTACCTAATGTAAATTGTGTAGCATATACTGAAGTATTTTTCACAAGGTACGTTAACGTTAATATGGGTAAGAGTACCTATTAAATATACGAAACTATTCCTAAAGCCGTAACTGGGCACAATAGGCGATATAGGGATGATGACAGGGTATGAAAATTAAAAATCTAGTTAGTCCGTCAGTTAGGTACTGAAAAAATATTAGACACGTATTTTTTATTTTGTTGTATGATAAAATGGTACCTACCTACTTAGATAAAACGAATCAAAGATTAGGAGTGGGGGCTAAAACGTCATTTCTACGTATAAAATGTACATAGAAGTGACGTCACGCGACATTTCAAATCAAACTATCGTCGAAAGTTTTCGTTTCTGTAAAAAAATAAGAACATTAAAATAAAAATTAGTCATGTACATACACTATTCAGAGGCGTTAGTACGAATTTGTTTTTCGTTTAAAGTAATCGAAATGAGTATGCGTCCGGCGCTCTGATTGGTTAGTTCCTTGCAGCCGGCCAATCAGAGGCCTTAGTACGAGTTTATTTTTACGAGTAGTACGAGTTTCGAACGCTTTCTCGTTTCGATTAATTTAAACATAAAACAAACTCGTACGAGGCTTCTGGACTCTATGCTACTGCGAGAACTGAAAAAACTGAGAGTGAAAATCATCGCTCACACGATCCGGAAATCGAACCGAAATCTCTGACTCAGCAGTTGTGCACGCAGCTATTCGACCTTAGCGTAACCCACTTAGTTGTTTAAATATAGTTATTTACCTACTGTTTAAATAAGTAGATTATGTTATTAAAAATAACGACAAGAGCATTGACCTTTTTAATTGTTTGTACTGAGTAAACTTCTTTCCACATTATGCTGAAATTGTAATGTCAGCCAAACGCATGCCATAAATTACGAGTTTGGCTTTGTCTTGCGGCAACCTGTTAATGGACGTGATTAGGAAGTTATTAAGCAAAATAGTATTTTTGGTTTACTGTCTCTCTTATGGCTACAGCTTCTGGGGACGTGCGTGAGCGTGAAGAAACTCTATAAAAGGTCCTGCTGTAAAGCACCACTAGATGGCGTTGCCTGCCACTTTGACGCTACAAAAAGGAAGGAATAAAATGATAAATTTTGAAATAAATAGCCAGATATAAATATTCTTACAAGAATCCCTCTCCCCGAAGCCTGGACCGAGCGGAATAATATAAAAAGGGTGACAATTGTAGCATTAAGTTCAGTCGGTCGTTGCAGTTGGATGGAGTCGGACGAATATCGGTGATATTGTTTATTACTAAAATATTGTGCTTAATTGTTATTGTGTACTTGTTGCTATATCAGCTACATAT